GTCCTATAAGATGTGTAGCACGAGTAACGTATTGAGGAGTTTGTCGAACGCGCAAACATGTTATCAATCCCATACATGAGCGAAAATTATCTTTTACTGTTTGTTTTAATATTTTTCCTCGTCGTTGTTTATTTTAAACTCGTGTTTAACTAAGAATTTGAAGATGTTTCCAGACAAAAGTTGTTTGTTTTCATATTTTAAATAACATATATTTTTTATAAGGATTTTATTATTAACTTCAAAATTGATTTATAGTCTTACAAATTAGTTTTCACATAGCGTAGTTTTTACCTAACTGCTGAAAAAATCTTATATTTCTATAAACGAGTATTCACAAAAATTCATTTTTTTTTACATCTTTAAAGTTTGCCTTGTACTCCTTAAAAAAAATTATGTTTGAGCTCTGCTTTTCGATGACTTATAATCATATAAGAGGATTTTGCAAGAAAGGGTTTTCTTGCACATTTTGAGGAACGCTTGACTCACACCCCTTGATATGGTTGGAGGACCGTTTCTAGATAATTCCACGAAAGTTCCCCCGAGCAAAGGAAGGACTGGACGGAGATAATCGAGTTTTGGACAGCTTCTGGCCCTCCCTATTGGAAACCTGGCGTAGACTTTCGCTTCCGGACAGACCGCACGCTGTACGCTGGGAAGAAGTCTACCGACAACCCTTGTTTGGAAACCGACGAGTGACCAACTCCAGTGGTTGCATCATGTCAAGCTCAGCCTTGCCCTGGAAGAGTTGGGTGAAAAGAGGGGTGCTCAGGGTCGGGGACCTTTGGGATGACGATAGAAAGGACTGGAAAACAGGGGACCAAATGCAGGAAACCCTACGATATTGCCATCACGTGAAGGAGCATTTGGGCGACCTGGTTGAAGCTATCCCGTTGGCATGGTATTAAACCCTTAAGCAAGGCCCCGCCTTAAAGGAAGACGACTGGGTAGCCAGCAAGGAGCCTCCCCAAGAGATAGGGCAAATACACATGGTCTCACCCCAGGCGATCTTCATCGAATACTACACAATCACGAGGACTAACACCCTCCAAGGAAGCAAAGCCCCACTTGTATGGAAAGAAAAAACATCTGTGTATAGAGTGGGAATCCTAGAAGAGACAGGGCAGAGGGTGGTGTTTCACCCTTTCAAACCTATCCAGGACCTGCCTCTAGACCCAGAAGAATGGTCTTGGGAACACCCCCGGCAAAGGGTAAATCCCAAAGCAGGCCGCACCAGCCTACACCAATTGTCACTCAAGTCAGCCTATAAAATGCTCAGACCAAAGAAACGGCCGAGAGACGTTATGAACGATAGATGGGTCAGACACTTCAACGTGGATCGGTCCCTCCTAACCCCAATCAAATGGTTCCGGGAACAGAAGGCAAGATCCATGAAAATCACTTCCCTGCAGTGGCAAATTGCCCACCGATGTCGGCCAACCAATGCTTGGTTGATCGACCGCACTAATTTAGGGCAAAAGGGCCTACTGCTCCCATGGTGCCAATGGTGACAGGGCCTTTTCCTTTCCATAAAAAGGCGGAAACCATCAAACACATCTTCCTACAATGCCCGATCGCCCAATTCATATGGAGGTGGTGAGACCGGGTATGGAGAAAGATGGTTCCTACATTCCTCTGGCCCTGGTCGTGGCAAGCCATTCTGGCCGGTCACTGGCCACAAGCAGAAACTGCCACAACCTTCGTAGAAAATATGTACACACTTGGAAGGAGGGCGGTATTGTGGACACTTTGGAGGCAGAGATGTACGTTGGCTATGGACAAAGTGAGGGTAGAGGTGCCATAAATTACCGAGTGTATTCAACAGCAGGTGCATTTCGAACTCACACAAAGATGGCAGGCCACTAAAACACAACTAGACTCCTTTAAACAAGAAGGAGACGCCAGGAGAAGGATTACATCATTTTGTACATACTGGGTGGGAGGGGAGAGAGAAGGATGGATTGCAAAAGTAGAATGGAGTGGAGACGGGGAGGAGGGACCGAGGGATCTGGAAGAAATGAGGGACTACCGCTTAAGTTTTAAAGACTGGATGAACATAGAACCCTCGTTCCCACTCCGCCCCTCTGCTGATTTTCCTTACCCCTTCCCGCCCCATGCCCTTTCCCTGGCTGAGATCCTGTCCTGATTGTTAAAACCCAGTAACTCATTCTTCTTACTTCTACTTACTTCCACTACTTCCACTTACTTTTCCTTTCATATATGGAACTCTCCCCTGGAGCCCCCCAGGGAGTGTTTCTTCCAACAAAACAATGTTGTTACTTCCTGAAGTGGTATCAGAGCTTATTGGGACATCTGGCGCCCCCTCTACGGGTGAAGAGATACGGAAAATAAACTCTGCTTTGAAAATCCCCTGGAGACAGGGCATTCAATGCAGGCAGGTCTAAAATGCAGGAAGTCAATAGGCAGCAGTAGTAACCGGGTGCCGAGATCAGGGTAAAGAGGCCCCCTCCCTGCTCAGTCAATCCCCTGGTCTCCAGGGCAATCAATGTTGCCAGGCTCTTCCTACAGTTCTTTTTTCTGATGTGTCCTGATGTATTCCAATTGTATCATTCTCATCAGGGACGCTGGACCCGTTTTCCAGCAGGTGATGCTCCCCACCAACAGATGGAGCCTATTCCCGGGTGAAAAAAAAAAAAAAAGGCACCCCCCTTTAAACCCTTTTAACCCCTTTAAAATTCATTAATACCCCTTTCCCCCCCCCTGGACAGCCAATACTCAAAAAAAGAAATGAGCCCGGACTTGGGCTCCTCTCGGAGAGCGCGGAAAAACCCCACCGCCATTTTTTATTTTTTTTTGCCATGCCCGAGTATCCCGGGCGTCAGACCCCCCCGGGCGTGGCCGGTCCAGACCGGCCGGTCATGAGAATCTTCCTAGCTTTTTATTACATTGGGCCCACTGCCCAATGCAAATATCCAGTTCACTAATTGCAGGGGTCAAAGGCCCTCCTCCAACAGTTGTTTTTTTAGGAGCGTCCACAAAAAAATGTACAACTTTTTTTTCTTTTTTTTTTGCAGAAGAATTTGTGGGTTATGGCTCCTCATTATTCTCGGGAGCGTCAGCCTCGGCTGCCTCGTTCCTATTCCACTGGCAAGTCAGAAAACATTACATAATTTACGCACGTACGCTCCTCCCCATTACGGTCGGTAGGGCACGAGCAGATGGCATTGATTACTTTCCGAGCGCAGGGTGTACCACCCCTTACCCCTGCCTAAGTTACYCTGTTTGACTTACTTGACCTCCCATTGCTAGCCTGAMTCTCACTGTTTCTCGCTAAGGCTTGGACCCCACTGGCCGGCGGCCTGRAAACTTYTTTCCGAGGAAGAGTCTTTCAGACCCCACAGGTGTTGGAAACCGTTGTGGAAAGTCGGCCCGGAAAGGAATTTCGGACCCCACTGCGTTTGGAAAGAGGTCGTGGAAAAGTTGACGGGGCGTTTCTACTCSGCTCGCGGCCTGGAAATTTGTGGCAACGAGTTTCCAAACAGTTTCCAAGGAYGGCTTCARACGAGTWGGGGGGGGGGCATGGAAACGAGTTTCSAGAAAACGGCCAGMCGRCGCGAACCACGGACCGTCACCGTGGACCGTTTTKTGGACCAGTACGCCGGCGCGGACATGCTCTTCATTTTCTCGCGTCGCACGGTTCACACCGGGGCCTGAGGGGGGTCTGGGCCCTCCGTGCTACCCTCGGTTTGCGAACGGCACGACGCAGCATTTCAAATTCGAAATTTTTGGCGGGCTCACGACGTAGTTCAGCCATGCAGTCGCTTCATGTCGTGCGAGTTCAGTGGCAGAAGCCCTCCGTCGTTTCTCACCGGCGTTATGCCATCGCTACTCTCCTTCGTGCGAGCTGGTTCCTTGACCTGCCAACGAGGAAGCCATCTCTGGTGGCGTCGGCAGGCGTTGTCCGGCCAGGGCTTGCATTTCGAGCCTCCTGGCGTTGTGCCGAGCAGTATCCGTAGAACGCACAGTCCGGCCCCGGCGCTCTCACTACCTTCCCGCGCGCACATGTGTTGTCCAATGTTGACCTCCCCTGAGGTTGCCATTGCACATGCCGTGCTCCGTCGTGTGCCTCCCTTGCCATCCTCCCTTCTTCGTTTGCCTCGGCAGGGCGGTCGTTTGTCCTCGCCGGAGAGCAACCCCGACGCATGTAGGTAGGGATGGGCTGCACATGACGATGTGGTCATAAGTCCCCATCCACACACTCGCCACGTGTCGGTCATCGAACGCCATAGTCGGCCGTGTGGATGTGACCGCTTCCATCGTCATTGTTGTGTGGATGTTATCATAAACAACCACTGCAGCGGATGCGGGCGACGAAAAAAACCATCTTTGGCTGTTATCGCAGGCCTGCTTGCCGTCGTTATCCTCCTTTCCACTGCTTTTGTCTTGTCCGTCGCTTTCTGGTGCGCACTCGTGTACTTGTGTTGTCGTCGGTGGAGATAAGCTGCGAAGCGTTTTTGTTCGAGGGCGCATTGCGTGCTTGCAGGTGTTGCCTCCGTGTATTTATCTTCTGCAGCCAAATGGAGTCGTACCGGTCGACGACAGATCCCTGTGCAGGCAATGGTGGGGGATTCCAGACCCACGACTTGCGACAAGAAAGATCTGTCCACTACTCCTCGCCTTCGACGACGAGTATGCAATCCTTCAGCGGGCAGATGCAGGAGGTTGTGCGTGCGGGGCCGATTTGAAGTGCCTTCTGCTCGTGTGCCCTCTCCATCTGTCCATCATGCGGAAGCTGCACGTCGACGGTTCGTTGTTCGACCAAGTGCAGAAAGTGTGCACGCGGGCGCTGTGCACGCGGTCCAGACGTCGTTTTCCACACAGTTTGGAGGCGGGTATGGCATGCCTTCTTCGCACATGTTCCTGGGCGGCGGTGGATATGGCATTGCTCCGCAAGTGTACCCCACCCAGCACACTGTGGAAAGGGGCGGAGTGATGAGGGACGAGTGGCAGTGGTCCCCGCAGTGCCGGTGATGAGGGAAAGGGGCGGAGTGATGAGGGACGAGTGGCAGTGGTCCCCACCCACACATGCATGGCGGGTTGTCCGCTCCCTCGCCCATGTCGGTGACGCGGTCTGCTGCCGAGCTGTCATCTTCGATGGCAGATGTGCAAGTAGAGGATATGGAGGAGGGGTGGCCTGTCCACAGCGCAACTACATCGGCTGCCAGCTTGCAAGGTCCCTCCTTCGGTGGCGAGGAAGATGACTTGGTTGGCGACGATGAGGTCGAAGGTGATGGCGGTGACATTGATGGGCAAAACTCTGACAACGCGCAGGAGGATAGAGACAATGCTAGTGCTAGGCAGAGAGATGGGGGCGAGAATGTGGTTGGGCCCCAAAGCGGCAAGCGTGCAAACAAACGGGGGGGCAAAGATGGTGCTGCGAAAAACAAGAAGCAAAACATCCCCTGGACCTTGGATGAGAGGATCACGCTGTCCAKATTGATGGYCGAGGACGACGYCGTTATGGCCGATGCTGACRGGCARCATCGGTTCAAGAGGAGTAAGGACCGATATGAGTGGGTGCACGATCGGATGGCGGAGCAGGGGTTTCGGTACAGGTCGGCGGAGGATTGTCGTAAGAAGTGGCAGGGCATGCTAGCGGCGGCAAAGTTGATTCTCGACAAGTGTGAGAATGCTTCGGGGAAACCTTTGTACTGGGACATGACCCTTGAGAAGCGGAAGGCTGAGCAGGTGCCACTAGACTTTGAGAAACCTCTGTGGGAAGCGATGGAGTGGAAACGCAATCGGCCATCCATCGAGTGTGACAAGACGCTGGCGTCCAAGAACCTGCCAGGCAACGTGGGGGGGAATTCGACGAGCGGCGGTCCAACACAACCGTCGCCGGGAGGAGTGCTTCCGACGGCAAAGCTACGGAAGATTCGGACCAAGCTGCGAAGATCCGGAGGACGAACACCGCCAAAAGCAGGATGGGCGACACGATGAGCGGTGGGACAACATTGAGTAGGGCGATGGAGGACGAGACACGGTCGTACGGCAAGGGTTTGGACAAAGCCGCTGCCACTCTGGCGAAGGCAACGTCGGAGGCAGGCTCGGCAATAGCGGCGAAGATTGGTGACGGGGCAGAGTCATACAAAACCCAATTGTCTCGGTATTTCTTACCGTGAAAACCAAGCCAAGTTTGATTCTCAGGGAAGTACTTATGCTTGATTCTTTGTCGACCCCAGGTAGGGTGTCTACGAAAGACCCATGCACGAAGTTGTCGAAATATCCGGAAATCCATACGGTGAAAGATTGCAGAGCATTCCGAAAACTTAAAGTAGTTTCCCCAACCTGAAATCAACGGAACCAAAGCACTGATGAGTCGGTGTACAGCGGAACCTTTGTGAGATTGTATTACAAAACGAGTTTGCGAAAGAAGTGTTTCCTGTGATTTCTTGGACGGAGCAACTCTGCTGACGAGCCCGTGGGATTCAGACGCGAAGCGTCTGCTCTTCGAGCCTTTGCCAAGGTGGAGAACGTCTAACCCACTTAATGCGAAAACAATGAGAAAAGGTGCAAGATGAGCTAAATACATGATACCTCCCATAGACAACATAGTCCAAGCAAAACCACTCAAAATCTTCACTAAACTATGACCAGCCATCATATTGGCAAATAAACGTATTCCTAGACTTGGTGCGCGAAAACAATAAGAAATTAGTTCAAGAAGTACTAAAAAAGGTGCTAGTGGCAAAGGTACGCCTTGAGGTACACTAACGCGGCTAAATCCGCTATATATTTCAAACGATTTTCGCATAGAGCTAAAACTATTCCAAATACATTGATGGTCATTATTACATAAATGAAAACACCTATTAGTAAAGATTGTATACCTTCGATAGTTCCACATGAAAAACCAATTAAAAGGTAACCTACATGGCCAATAGAACTAATCGTTTAAAATATATAACAGATTTAGCCGCGTTAGCGTTGACGAATCCTATTCTAGCAATGCGTGGCGGGAACACCGTCCTTGAGATGCTGGTGGGGGTTCTCGCAAGGCGCGGAGGTGGGGGGAACAATGCTGCATATGAAAGGGCGGATACAGACCCCTCAGCGCGCTAGACTTCCTATATATATATTTATATTTATATATATATGGCGAAGATGGGTGTCGGCTGTCGTTTCCTCGTCCCCATTTCCCGGCCAGGTGTCCCATCCCCTGGTCGGTCACCATCAACCGGTGTGTCCGAATATATATATATATATATATATATATATATATATATATATATATATATATATATATATATATATATGGCGCCGCGTCGCAATTGCGTCGCGAGTGTTGACACGACTTGCGGAGGATTTGCGGTGTAAGGAGATTACCCGCGAGTGTCAGGCCTCTGATGAGCCGGTGAAATTCCGGGGAAACACTCATTGCTCTTGTTTGGGTTAGGCAGTAGGAGACTCGTGTGTGAGTGGTAGCGCGCCAATTTTCTCGTACCGGCTAACACTGACCCGGTTTAAAGCGCAGTTGTAGCTCCGACGATGTTCTTCGACGGGTCGGGAAAGGTATTTATCAAATTCCCCTGTTTGCTGCTGGACTTTGCGCCGCGAAGGTGTGTGGTAGTGGATGGCGCCGCGTCGCAATTGCGTCGCGAGTGTTGACACGACATGCGGAGGATTTGCGGTGTAAGGAGATTACTCGCGAGTGTCAGGCCTCTGATGAGCCGGTGAAATTCCGGCGAAACACTCATTGCTCTTGTTTGGGTTAGGCAGTAGGAGACTCGTGTGTGAGTGGTAGCGCGCCAATTTT